AGTGTTGACATTTTATTTTTGTTCGCTTCTCACTCTACGTCCAGATTGTGTTCAAATTGCGAAAAAATGTCATGTATATATTGTCTACATTCAACTCTTCGAAAATATCAGCTATTTCTATAAGAAATATAAAATGTTAATTTTTGTTTAAAAATACCAATACGTACACAAAATCTAGAAAAAATATATGTATAAATGAATTAAAAAATTATCATTTCAATCTTAATTCTAGAAAGAGGAAAAGGTTAAATACAAAAAACAGCATAACACTAAAGAACATAAGATCATAGAAGTTCAAAATGTGACAAAAATAGGTTTCTCTACATGTACTACCAAAAAATAGTTATACATGTGCCAAATATCTTTTGCATAGTCCGATATAAACCCTGCTATAGCCTTGCTGGATTTTCTAACATAATTATTCATTAGAACTTGAAATAGGAGGATTTGAATGGGCATGGCTGATAAACACTGCAATAAATGCCATTGGAAAATCTGTAAATAAAAAACGGGTACATGTGCGGGGAGGATGTGAAGATATTCATGTGTGCAGGAAAGGGGTAAGTTCTGTTTTTTGGGTTCTTTTGTCGTGTTTTTCTTAACACTACACTCAATTACTGTAACGTATACTTCGTTAATGATTACACATTAAATGGATTTATAATAGTATTGGCTAATTTTATTCACCAATCCATATTCTTATAAAAGAAATAATAGAAATGGTAAAGTATTTTATTGACTAAATTTAAAAAAAATATTACGCGTTTTCGTTACCACTTTCTCGTAACCATTTACTGGTATCGAATTTGGAGTAATCTTCCGTTAAGTTAGTCAGTCATTGCCTTTTATCCTTCCTGACAGGGATTCGGTGCTATTAGAGCTCCAAGTTCCCTGACGGTCACCCATAAAGGAATCTGCGATGTCCCAAGTTTCTTAATCTACGCGACTTCACGAGGCATAGTTAAGCAATTCCGCTACCAACGCCAGTTTAACAATAATTATCTTATGCCTGTCTCTTATTTTTTCTCCGCTTACTAGTTTTATCTAAGGTATCATGAACTTAAAATTGCAATTTAGAAATATTATGACATTTTCTGAACAATTCTGAACCTTTTGGTTAAATTTACAATGTTTTAACCATTTTCATGATAATTGCTGAACATTTTACGTTTACGATTCATACTCATATTCATAAATCAGGTTATGTCGCGCTTTTTAAAGGCACAACTTCATGAAGAATAAATTTCTTTTTTTATTCCAATTTTTATACACTTAGTTTCGAGAGTAGTATTCCGTAGTTTAAAAGCCCATGAACAGTTTCATTAAATTTTACTTGAAGTCGAATGAATGAAACTTTTAAAATTCATGTATTCAATGTATTTAACAATACATTTACAAAAGAAATACGGTATTAGTCATTTAGAAGCTTTTTTTTTATTATTATTTAAGGTCGCATCAACTACTAGGTCATTAGCGACCACTATTGCTTGTAACGGTATGGTAACTGTGGGTTGACACGATAATGATGATGATAGGGGGTGAAAGGACGAAACACAATACAACCATGCCCGAGGCGGGACTCGAACCCGCGATCCTTCGGTCCGAGTTCGCTACGGCACTACTGCCTTAGCGATCTCGGCCACCGGATCGGCTAGAAGCTATTTTGTCTCTCGTATTTCTAATTTTTGGTGACAATTTGCATCATTGGAGGTATTATGTACCCCGGAAATCAAAACAAATACTTATCGTAGACTCCTTTCAAACTTGGTCTATTTAAATGTTTTAGAATTATTATATATTGAGTTTCATTCAAATACCCAAGTCTTAAAAAATGCTTAAGTATAGCGGCAGTTCTCAATGACCTAGTATTCAGTGAATCCTCAAAAATGTACAAAAAATCTTAAATATGTAATTCACTTAGTATTATTGCGAAACACAAATTACTGTATTACTAATCATATTGATCACACACGGTACAAATAATATAAATGCTTGTTGAAATTGGTCAGATGAAAGTCCTAGTCCGCATTAAAAAATTGTTACAAATCATTGCAAAACCTAAGCCGCAATAATATGTGGTATTTTATTGTTAGTTTTTTCGCCTTTTACCCCAAGAAAGAGAGCAGGGCATTAGCTATACAAGCAAATTCAATTTCTGTGTTGCTCTATCTGAAAACATCGGTTGAGTTAAATTTCAACAACTGATAATTACATAATTCACAATGATACATACGCTTACTACCGAATTTGTGACCAGTCCAAATAAGCATGAAAAAAAAATTTCATGGTTCAAGGACCCTTTTACAGTAAATTACCCTATAATGTTAAGAAAATAGGGAGTTTTAGCGCCACGCGTAAGGTAGAGGCGTTATGCACTAACAGTCACGTGACGGACCTTGAAGTCATAACGTCTTACCTTAGGCCTAAGGTACGACCTTATACCTTCATAAATAGTGCACGCCTGTGGAAGTCTCTACGGTCACCTTGCAAGCGACAAAATGGTCACCTAAGAAGAGGAAAAGTTGAAATTTTCCAACTCTGATAAACCGACTCTCGTATGTAAGGCAATTACAATTATTACTTACCAACTCCACAGCGCTGGGAAGAATTAATGAGATATGTTGGAGAGGTGACAGGAAAGAAATTCACGAAAATTTGTTATGTCTTATGCTCATAACGAATGTTGTTTTAAGATATTTCCTATGTTTTGAAGAAAAGCAGATTCAAAATTCCAGACTGCATACTCATCACGGAGGGACACAAAATCTAAAACTTCATGCATAATGTATATTTGTTATTCTGTTGACTCGTAAGATGTTTTCAATGTCTCACCACTAGTCTACACTCTTTGATGTATTATGCAATATCTCTGTTCAACGCTTGAAATGCTTCGTTTATTATAATGCACACCGCAATTGCTAAAACTCTTCTTCCTTTATTATAATGCATACCGCAATTGCTAAAACTCTTCTGAACTTAGTTCATTACGACGGTATAATGACGTAAGTCACGTGATCGATAGAGTTTAAGGACATCTCCTTACGCCTGGCGCTAACACTCCCTAATATATTATAAAAGTGGCAAAGAGGACACTTATGAATGACAGTGTATGCGGAACAAGGATAAAACGTACCGCTTAAATAGTCATTTCTCTAAAGTCCGAGGTAGTCACCAAGTTCGTGATAAAAATATTGTAACGTGGAAAATACTTTCGAGTAGACTTCCTTTACGAACTATAATGAACATCCACTGGAATTTGCTCTGATGTCCGAAGTAAGAATTCTGTACCTACGGATGGGTGCACACTCGGCCGTATTCAGCGTCTCGGCGCCAAGAGCAGTCGAACTGATGAATCACACCACAAATAAAACCGTTAAAATACTCAATCGCGTATTCACCCTTAAAACAAAGTAGATCTTCATTATATTTTCAGTATCTTTCCTCTGGCACGGTAATAAAGAGTTTCAGTGATTTACGTCTCGACTTCTATCGTAATCCTTTTCAAACAAACTGATAAAAAGTTATATCATAGAAAAAGTAAATATTGCCATATCCAAAATTTTTAGAAAACAAATAACCAAGTACGATGGACACTTTTAGATATTCAAATTGTGTGCCTCGAGAGTCTGCCTGCTACCCTCAGGACCGGTTAGCTACGCCCAGGTGCAGCATGTTGGTGTTTGTTTTCGTATTTTTTTAAACATTGTGATATATCAATAATGCGATTTATACGAAGGTCAGGAATAGCCTTATGTACTTTCAGAACATAAACATCAGTATGTTGATACATCGATTTTTTTAGCACGCGCCGTACGGAAAAGTTAACAGAGATATTAACCATAGTTTTTAGCTTGGAAAACCTCTGGGTCAGAAGAGACTGAATTAGCACTGAAATGAATCACCGTTTCGATTTTATTAATTTCAGAGCACTGCGGATGAAAATATTTAGTTAAAGACTTCTTAATTAGAAACAACATATTTTCTCGGCGTAACAAAATAAAATTTCAAAATCAGTAGATTGGTATATTGGATATATTGAAAGGAACAATTTTGTGAGAAACCGTCACACATGGATGTCACCTAGAGTTCTGTCGCCCCCTTGTCTAGCGCTGTCGGGCGCAAGCAACGCGTTTGCCCCAACACAGAGTGCCGAGGGCAGCAGGGGGTCGGGCTGATCGCGGCGAGCGAATTACGCCGCGAGAACATTTAAAGTCAACGAACTTTCCAGAGACCATTTGGCGAGGAAGAGGATTCCGATCCAACGCGGTCAAGCACACACGACCCCGGGTCCGTCCCCGCGGGGGGACTGCGTGCAGACGGAGGGGAAGAGGATGTTACGCCGCGCCTGCGACGCGGATGGTCCATGCATGCCGCTACGACATAGCAGCGCTCTATAGGGGTACCACCCGGTTGGGCACGCTCTACGCAACTCCAACTGCTGGAGACGTACACAAAATGCTCATCGGCAAAATTTAAACGTGCAGTTAAAATACAAAACCTAAGAGGAGGAGAAACTGCTAAGGACTTTTAATTTTCAGAAAAGTTCGTATCATGTTCGTATCACGAATAACGTCAATGAAGTCGAAGTAAAGTGGTCTATTTTCTTTTCTGTGATTTTTGAAAACAAATATATGAAATGTATAATATTATGAAAACATTTCGATAATGTGCTTAGAATGAAATATACTAAAGAGTAATATTTCCACTATTCAAAAGTTAATTATGCAATTTTGAAAGGAAAAAAAAGTTCGGTATTTGCTTCTGTTTACTTTACACGTTGTGCTTGCACAAGCTTGACATTCCTCAAAATGATCATAACGAAATCTGCACAACGAATTCAGCATCATTCTTGCCAAATACAGGAAATGAGGTATTTTAGGAATCTGTCAATAATAAAAAGACGGTAACCCTAGCTACCTAGCAGCTACTTGGAAGACACAGGACGAGGGTTGCGTGCTCCACTACTGCCAACGCCACCGCAGCGGCGGCGGCCGCCTTACCTGAGCGATCTGGTTTTCAGCCATGGCCTCCTCCTCTAGCTGGTGCTCATGACGCGGTCCGCAGGGCCGGCCGGGCGCACCGCCGGTCGGATCGTATCGATAGCGCTGCACTTTGTCCGAGTTGTTTTATACTCCCTGGTCCATACCACTCACTCTCCTCCCTGCCTCCACAACACGCCACGCCACGCCACGGCACGGCACGGGCACCGCTGCTCTTGTCACGTCGCAACGAGAAACATTGCGTAACGTCCACACTCTACAAGATTGACGGCGGACACCAACTTTAACTGTTCAATTTCACGAGGGTTTTGGCGGAGGAAGGATACTGGCCGCCGAAGAGTAATTGAGACAAAACCAAACTTTTATTTCAGCGAGGAGGTTATCCCGGTGCATTCAATGTCTATTGTCATTACACATTGAATTTTGTGGAAAAACAACTTACTGCCACTTACTGCTCGAAACTTCCAATATTCAGTGCTTTCGTTATTTTTCTCTGAGCAGCCAACTGTTCGACAGAAAAAAATGTGTTCACTTACTGGCAAAAATATTTGGGTAACCTATGACACCAAGAAACAAGTCATCAGCTAACAACAAATAATCATCGATTAATCATCGAAGAGATCTCAGGATAATATCCTTCTATCAGTCATGGACAGATTATGAACAGTGTTTAAATGGACTACATCGATTTTAATCTTCATACAAGCATCCGCAACTACATTTAACATTAGTATTCACTCGATGTGAATTATTCATCGACGTAATTCACTTTCCACATTTAATGTTGAGCTATACCAAAGTATAATTATTACTACTTTTGTAAATATATGCGTTAAGGAATGAATTTAACAAACTGATTATTAAAATGCAATATTACAACGATGCACAACCTTTTGGAGGATTCTCCTTAATATTGGTGCAGTGAATACATAATAAAGGCAGCTCTAGGTTTGAATTATGAAGAACCCACTCAAGTGTTCATAATATACCAGTGGCGTAGCTTCAAGAGAGGAGGCCCTTGGACCGACACAATATGGGGGCCCCTAATTAAAGACATGTCATTAATTTACATTCGTGATTATAAACTATTTTTTCGGAATGAAAACAATTACAATAAATTACAGAAAATAAATTTTTGCAATTTCATGACAAATTAAAATGTCAATTTTGATATTTTCTTTGCATCTACAAATTTATCAATGATAATAGAAATATTTTCAACCACATCGTTTTTTCGGGTTTCAGTTGACAAAATATTAAATTTTTAATCAATTTTAATTTTGAAAACGTTCTATCGGCGATCGCGACCAGGACTCGAAGTATACAAATAATGTTGATACTGTATACCCACCGGGAAAACTTGTTAATAATGATTAATAACTGAGCATTGCTCATTATTTTGCGAAATCAGGGGACAATGGCTGATCGCGTCCGTGACATCCCTAAAGTCACACGTGTCCCCTTGGTGGTACTAAGGGGCAGTCACCAGCTACGGGCTAGACTACCCTCTGGGTCTCCTGTCTATATCTGAGCATGTCGAGATAAGAAAGAGATCCGCTTAAGGACCACCTGACTAGATATACCGGAGATTTTTTCCCGTATTTGCCAGTTAAATGTGGAAGGAATGAGTAAATTGAAAGGTAATGCCTACCAAAACCTTTTCTGAAAATCAAGTAGATGAGATTCTTGAATAAGGAGGTTGGCTTTTAAAAATGACTTAAGACCGCCTGTATTTATTGACCTTACGGCAGCCTACGATACAGTCTGGAGAGAAGAACTAATGTGTACATTTTTGAAAATCTTCCCTGACAATTGCCTTTATAAACTTATTAATAACATTCTGAATAGTAGAACAATCACAGTTATAAACGGCAGCGATATAAGCAAGACAAAGCTGAAAGTTGCCCTACCTCAAGGCCCCGTCCTCGCACCAATTCTTTTTATATGTATATGACAGACTTGCCACCCACTACCTGACATATTTGCCTATGCTGATGACTTTGCGATAGCCACCCAACATTCATCTTTTGAGAAATCTGTGGAAATAGTTAATATAGAGCTAGGTTGACTCTGAGAATACTATCGCAAGTGGAGACTGACCCCAAGTACAAAGAAAACGGCAAAGGAAACTGCTCTAGCTTCCACCTATGTAATAAAATAGCCGATCGGAAACTGAAGATTCATTTCAATTACTCCCTGTAAGACACCAACATATTTGAGCGTAACCCTGGACCGCACCTTAACTTATAGAGCTCACTTGAAAGCACATCAGCTCGCACTAGGAACAATATTTTGCTGAATGTGCTATGAGGGTCAACTTGGGTGTTGCTACTTCGCTACTTCAGCTCTCGGACTTGTGTAAAGCGCAGCGGAATATGGAACTGCAGTATGGTTGAACAGCCGCCATGTCCACTATCCGATATCCAATATGGGACGTATGAGGGAGAAGATCTGCACACATATTCTTGAATTCCAGAATCCCTTCCCGTCATTTTAACTATAAATAGTTGAAAGATGAGTATAAGTTAATGATGAAAAACAAAATTTAAAAAAAGCGTGAGATTAGCAGTATTTGAAAAAAAAAAAAAAAAAAAAACACATTTTCGTTCCCGAGTTACATAAAACTCATTTGCAACAGTAAGTGAACTGTGTCATTTTTCTGCATTGCTAACAAAATAGTAACTCGCCCTTACCTCTTCTCCTACCGTTACAAGAAAAAGGAGAGTTCAACAAACCGTGCGCACAGTTCACTACATATACGTCCAGAAGCAAAACAAGGGGCCATCTCAACACTTGCTCAACGGATCAGGGAAACTGGACAAAAAACCTGATCGAGATGGGGTCATTGACACGGAAGGTGAAGTACATTTGTTACAAACATATTAAGTCTTTTTATAAAACTCTAAAATACAAACGTAAAGTAATTCTATATATTCTAAAGTAATATATATATATATAATATATATAATATATAATAAATATATATATAATATTTAGTATAATATAATATATAACCGTTTTGTTAAAAATAAACATTTTTCTTTTTGATAATCGTATAGTTTCCAATTGTACACACAACAGTTTACACAGCGAAAAGAATTTACTTTGAACTTAAATTGTGACCAGACGTCAATTGTTTAATGAAATCTGGCAACTGCGTTGTATAAGTAAGTACAATGTATTGTATATGATTTCCTGATAGTGGAGCTGTTTGATACTGAACACTTGGGTGAAGTGATTTTAAGACGTGTTAATTACAAATACAGTATTGCACTGAAAATATGGTCCACACCGTAACTAAGTAACATTTGGACATATATGTTACAATTTCGTAAATATATAGCACAGCAAGTGTAAGATTCTAAGCTCCAATGAAGAGTACGCTTGCAGGGATCACGTGGATGGTATTTTTTCATTATTGAATTTTCTTTGCAATTAAAGGTCCGAGTACTACTTGATGAGTCTCGCCCAGAATATTATGCATTATCTCAGGCGGGAAATGTATATTTGCAAATACTGCGACGAGAGAGAGGGCTGCAGAATTTTGAAAGAATTCTGAATTCGTTAACATATATGCACTTAATTAGTGTTTATTCTTATATGTACATTCTATTTGAGGCGATGACTTTAATTGCAGAAGTTCCTAGAATTTTGTTACCTTAACATCAGCTCATTGACATATTGATCATTTTCAATGGTGTCATCTGGCAAAACAGAACGTTCTTTTCATTTTAATAGACGAACGGGCAAAGTAATCGTTTACTTATAACAGAAAAGAGAATAAAACCTAAAATCGACACCTTCTGAGACACATATTCAATTGGTAAACAATAAGTCGGAAAGACATGTATAAAAGATGTCCTTTCGTGCGTTCGCGATATTTTCTACTCTGAGATGCGATGTTTAAGGTACGAAGATTATCCAATCTAGTGGCGATACTAAACATTCCATAAGAAGGTAATTTTTTTGAGACAATAGCGTTGCTTGTCAACATTCAAAGATTTCGAGAAGATCTAAACAAGATATTCCAATGGGGGCATTTCCGGGGTCCCATGTGATGAACAGACATCTTAAGAAATAGAAAAAGTGGCAACTTTCCGTAGATTTTTGATTTTCTAAACACCTGTTGTGAGTCTGAAAAAGCTTCATTTTTCCTGAGCAAAAATTTTTTCCATTTGCGTAAGAAAAGCCGCTCTTAATATTTTGAGAAACCTGACAGAGAAGAGAAATTGGTCGGTAAATTTTGAATTTCATTTTTTTCTG